ATAAAATTAGAAAATTTCAGTGTAGGATTCCTTACTCTTCTCCAAAATCAGTGTGTCCATCTGTTCAGCAGGTAGTTATTTATGTAGTTTTTCTAAATTGAAGTTGGTAGAGATTAACTTCTTATTCTGCTTAAAAGTCATGAAGTAGCCTTGGCCAGTTTGGCTCAGCGGTTAGAGCATCGGCCCGCGGACCAGAGAGTCCCGGGTTCGGTTTCCACTAAGGGCACATACCTGGGTTGCAGTTTGTCCCCGGCCCCAGTTGGGGTTGTGTGGGTGGCGACCAGTCGATGTGTCTCTCTCACATCGGTGTTTCTCTCTCTCTCTTCCTCTCTCCCTCCCACTCTATCTGAAGATAAATGAAAGAAAAAAAAAAAGTCATTAAGTATGCACAGCCGGTGTGGCTCAGTAGATTGAGCATCATCCCCTGGGCTGAGAGGTCCTGGTTGGATTCCTGGTCAGGATGCCAAGGTCGAGGGCTCAATCCCCATTAGGGGGCGTGCAGGAGGCAGCTGATCAATGTTTCTCCTCTCTCTCTAAAAAATCAATAAAAACTTTTTAAAAGAAAAAGAAAAGGCCATGAAGTATCATTGCTTAAGCATTTCAGCAGCTTCAACAATAAACCTTCTTAAAGAAGTGTATTGCTGGCTGGCTAAGATACATAAAGTTTATATGAAAGTCTTTGGTGCACTTCCTCAAATATTGAGTCTTATCTAGATAAAGAGGGTGAAGTTGAAATGGCTTGAGATTAAATGAGGGACTCTCAGGCTGAATCAGGAGAAAAGTAGGTCTCACAAAAACTGTTTAATTGTCCCATCTTTAAACTGGGCATTTCTCTAGCTGAAGGGAAAAGAAGACTCCAACAGTGTGTTTGGTTAAAGCACTCAGCTCTTCAGTGAAGTTCTCCTTAACCAAGGTGGTGCTATTTTAATTTCTTCACACGTTTATAATCTGTATCTTAACATTATAGTCTTATTAATATGTTGGTTTGAAACTATTATGTATATTTTATATAGTTAAGTAAAGAACCTTTTGAGCTTTTATTGAAGAGGGAGATGTTATATTTGGTAAAAGATTGCAAAGGATAATATAAAGGAGGTAGCATTTCACATATGGACTTTCAGACATTCGGTGGTAGGAAGATATTCCAGATGAAGGAACCAGGCGTAGAGGCATAGAGTATCATCTGTACAGAAAAGTGGCAAGGAGAGGTAGATTAAGGCTATATAGCATTTGACCTTGACAACTACACAGAGGAGTTGTTTAATATAATAAAGAACCTTGAAAGTTTTTGAGCAAGGTAGAGATATATACGAGAGTTGTGTTTGAGAAACAATCAATTGGCAGTGTGTAAGATTCATTGCAAGGAAAAACTACAATAACCCTGGTGATGAGAATTTGTAATTGAAACTGATTGAATCTGCACAACAATTATTCAAATTTTGAATCTTGGTAATTTTTTACCAAGGAATGTTCATAGGAATGTTTATCCTATTAACAGAAAAAGTTAAATCAGGAAGAAGCTGATTCAGAAAGTTTGGGGAAATGATTTTCACTTTAGATGTGAGTTTGAAATCCCAACAGAATATTGAAGCTAATGGGAAGTAAAAAATCAGAATCAGATTTGAAAGGCCTGTTAAAAGCCATATGAGTGTCCTGGCTGGTTTGGCTTAACAGTTAAGAGCATCAGCCGGGGGACCAATGAGTTGAGGGTTCGATTCCGGTCAAAGGCATGTACCTCTGTTGCGATTCGTACCCAGCCCTGGTTGGGGTTGTGCGAGTGTCACCTCAACTAGATGTAGGCTCTTGAAGGTTTACTACCCTCTGCTTTCTTTGTATCTCTCATCATAGTTTAATTTGTGATTTGAATATATGGGAAATAAAACCACGAGATTGATAAGACTCTTTTCTACAGGATGAGGATGAAGAAGTATACAAGAGAGATTTCAGTGCACCTACCCTGGAGGATCATTTCAACAAAACCATTCTTCCCAAAGTCATGCAGGTATGGGGTACTTTAACATGAGAGAAAAGTGATATATTGAGGGCTGGGATATGATATGTTTGGTAGTATAACTAACTCATCATCCATCCTTCCCTCAGGTCAAGAACTTTGGGCGCTCTGGTCGTACCAAATACACCCACCTTGTGGATCAGGACACCACCTCCTTTGACTCCGCATGGGGTCAAGAGAGTGCCCAGAACACGAAGTTCTTTAAACAAAAGGCAGCTGGTGTGCGAGATGTATTTGAACGGCCATCTGCCAAGAAGCGGAAAACTACTTAAAGTTCAACTACTTATTCTTCCAGCTGTGGGACACAAGGGCAAGTCTCAGCATCTGGTCTTTGATTTGCTTTTACCATTATTTACATGGCCTATATATCCAGCCTATTGGACCTGCCATACTTGGAGCACTGGGCAACCCAGTCTTTGAAGGTGCTTTGTGAGGTTTGGACTCATGCTGAGAACCCCACAGAAAAGCACTATCCATCCAGGTGGGATTACCCCCACTTAAAACTATTTCTAAGAAATTTTAGGTTTCATCATTGTTCTGGCTTCCCAAATTCACTTGGGACTGTTCCAAGTTTCTTTTTCCAGCCCCTTAGTTTGGGTCAGAAACATGGGCATGTAAGTGGACAGTGCATTACTTCTACCTTACAGGAAATCTAAGCTCACTGAAACCTGTTTTGCATTTTTGGCTGAAATCAACTTTTCTAGGTGAATGTAATTTTGATCCATTTATGTACGTGTTCAGAAATAAAAGAATCACACACCAAGAGACTTTTTGAGCTAGATACTGGAAAATAATGTGCAGGCTGACTAGTATTTACCTATTAACTAAATAAAGTCAACAGGGAATTGTCAGGCAAACAGTGTTTCACACTTTAATCATCCCCTTTGATATCAGAAACAAACTCAGACTCTATAAACAGGCCGTATTCTTTTTTTTTTATCGTCACTCGAGGACATTTTTCGATATTTTGTTCAGATAGAGTGGGAGGGAGGAGAGAGAGAAACATCGATGTGAAAGGGACACATCGAGTGGTTGCCACCCACACGATCCAACCAGGGCCGGGGACAAACCGCAACCGAGGTATGTGCCCTTAGCGGGAACGAACCCCGGGTCTCTCCGGACCACAGGCCTACACTCTAACCGCTGAGCCAAACCGGCCAGGGCCAGGCCGTATTCTTAGTAGCACCAATTTATTCCCAAAGCAAATACATTGGTGGTTGTCCTTGCCATCTTCATCATATCTGTATATAGAACAAAAGTTGACCCATAAAATGGGGACTACCAAGCACCTACCAGTATCTTTTCTTTGCCCAGCTCATATATCAAGCAGAGAATAGTGCTCTCTGAGTTAGTGTAATGACATCATGCTAGAGTTAAATTCATGATTTTTCCACTTAATACTCATTATGTAACTACCATGCACATGGCAGAGCATAAGGAGTCCTAGGGGTTACAAGAAATGACATTTAACTACAGGAAGGCTACTTCTCAGTTGCATGAAAAAATAAGATCAAGGTTTGTTCACATTCATGCCCCACTGGGAAAAACACTCATAAATCCTTAAAAGTCCTAGAATAAAAATACAAGTGTAAATAATTCCTATGAGGTAATAAACACATAAAGATGAATGTAAGTCACTGTGTGTGTGCCAGAGGGGAATACAATCTTAAGAATTATCCTACAAGCTTCGCCAGTGTGGCTCACTGGTTGAGTGTCGACCCATGCACTAATAGGTCACTGGTTCAATTCCAAGTCAGGGCACGTGCCCAGGTTGTGGACCCAATCCCCAGTGGGGGGCTTGCAGGAGGTGGCCAAAAGATGTTCTCTCCCATTGATGTTTCTCTCTCTTCCTCTCTAAAATCAAGAAAGAAAAAATATTATAAAAAAAAAAATTAGCCTACAGCCAAAATGAGAAAAAGAGCTTGAAATTCTTTTGGGAATGTGTTTATAGCTGCTATTTGAATGTCTACTCTGGGGCAGGTACTAGGCCATGCTTTCAGTACTCACCAGTTCATAAATTCTTATGACAACCTATGTGGTATCATTTTACAGTTCAGGAAACAAAAGCTCAGCAAGGGTAACTTAGCCAAAGTTGATCAACTTTTAAAGTAAAATTTATCTTCTCTCTAGGATAAAAAATGCCATGTAAGGTATTAGTGTTATGGTTCAAAATTCAAATATTGCCCTGGCCAGTTTGGCTTAACAGTAGAGTGTTGGCCTGTGGACCAATGAGTCGTGGGTTCAGTTCCGGACAAGGGCACATACCTTGCTTACAGTATGTCCCCAGACCGGGTCAGGATCATGTAGGAGGCAACCAGTCAATGTGTCCCTCTCACGTCGATGTTTCTCTCCCTTTCTCCCTGCCACTCTATCTGAAGATCAATTTCAGGTTACTTCTATGTGTCCTAAATTTTGATATCTTCTATTGTTTTTACCATGTTCCCACCTCAAGTACCTAAATTCTAACTCAAAGTGGCTTATGATCTGGATTATTAATTTACATCTACAGGTAAGTAATGACCTTTCAGCTATTTATAAGCTACCTTAGGGACACATGCCATGGGGTACACTAATTTTGCTCCAAATATACCTTGAAGACTCTTTGAGAGAGCTAATCTGATGGCCCTGGCCAGTGTGGCTCAGTTGGTTGAATACCAAAAGGTTGTGGGTTCAATTCCCAGTCAGGGCACATACCCAAGTCGTGGTTCCTACATTAAGGAAGCAACCAATCAATTCTCTCTCTTTCTCTCTCTCCCCCCCTCCCTCTCTAAAATCAATTAAAAATAATAGTAATAAATAAGTAAAAAATAAGAGTGCTGATCTGATGAATAAGCCTGTCTTGCCACCTAGCAACATGAAATACTCTTCTACGTTGATCCTTCACATAGGTTCAGTAAGGGCTGGGGTGGGGAGGGCTGTCACTTAAATTCAGTTATACTCCAACATGTAAATTTCTGACAATAAAATAAAATATACACTGCATTTGATGAAACTGGGGGGAAAAAAAAAAACACAAGTCTTTATTGCAATAAGTTAATCCAGTGGGTATGTCTCAGAAAGCTCAATTCAGTTGGTTAGGGCAATAAGAGCCTCTACCACGTTGCCCATGTGTTCCCTCAAACTTCGCTCTGCCGCTGCTCGTGAGATCTCCATCTCTGTCATCTGCAGGAAAAGGATCAATGATGTTACCTAAGCCTCCTCTCTGGCATTAATGTGCCACCAAAACATGCTAACTAGACTTGTTTCAGGAAACAACCCAAATCAGGCAAAGTAACCTCCCCTGCCCATTCATTAGCTAGGCATCACTACTCACTATCAACTCCAGATCTTCCTTCTTGATGGTGACTTTTGCCAGTTCTTTCTCCCTACAAATATTAACGTACATTAGTCTTCATTCTCTACCTCCACCATAAACTCCCTTGAAGGATCATTCCCAGCTGTGCCTTACAAACATGACTCTTAATAAACACTGTTGAGTGAAAATACAAAATGACTCCCACTCTTTCCCCTGGAGTCTTTACAGCAGGCAGATGTTGCCAAGAGGCCTTTCTTTCTACTAACGAGAGTAAAGTTATAAACCTTAGATCTGAGGGAATTGGTGATGGAGCTGAAGAACGATACAAGGTACAAAGACTTAATCATGGCTTTTATTTTTCCTGGGGGAAAGAGGGACTGGTAGGGCTGACTGCGTGCATAAGACTTACCGCTCTTGTTTGGCTTTCTGCTCCCGGGAACGTCTGTCTCCAATCACCGACATGGCCTACGGGAGAGGCAAATCTAGTTACTGCTACCCACAAGGCCTAATATAAAAAGCCACTAAAGCCCTGGCCCTTATGGATTGGCGGTTAGAGCGTCGGCCCAGGGACCAGAGAGACCCTGGTTCTCGGTCAGGACATGTACCTCTGTTGTGGCTTGTCCCCGCCCGGTTGGGGTCGTGTGGGTGGCAACCAGTGGATGCCTCTCTCTCACATCTATGTTTCTCTCTCTTCCCCCCCCCCCCCACTCTATCTGAAGATAAATGAAAAAAAAAAAAAAAAGGGTTGCCCTGGCCAGTCTGGCTCAGCGGTTCCAGCGTCGGCCTGCGGCCCAGGGAGACCCGGGCTCCATTCCCACTAAGGGCACGGACCTCGGTTGCAGTTTGTCCCCCGCCCTGGTTGGGTCCTGCAGGTGGCAGCCACTCGATGTGTCCCTTTCACATTGATGTTTCTCACTCTCTCCCCCTCCCACTCTATCTGAACAAAAAATGGCAAAATGTCCTCAGGTGAAGATTAAAAAATATATATATATATATCCTCAGGTGAGGATTAAAAAAAAAAAAAAAAGCCACTAAAAGCGAGGCGGGTGTGTAAACGATAAGTGTTATCAGGAAACCAAGGCCTGTTTTAATTCAGTTCTCTGCTCCTAAGGACGACTGTAAACCCAATCTCCAGCAAGCCTTTTCGAAAGCCGTGACCCCCGGTGATGGTTCGTTTCCCTGTTGCCTCCTCCCGCCATTAGGATCGTGACCCCGTCCTGGAGCAGGGCTTCCAGTTAACAGCCTTTGAGCTCCCTCTGGTCTCAGCCCCACCGACACGCTCCCCGCCAACCTCACCGTCTCCAGATTGGAACTTTGGATCTCTTTCTCTTCCGCATAGTCGGTGACTCTCTCCAGGTCCGCTGCACCACTGTCATGCTTCCGTGGCTTCTCGGGAGGCCGCTCAGGACCGCTGGTCTCGGTCTCCAACTCTAGCTCCACATCCCCCTCAGTCGCCATATCGATCCCACCGCGCCGCCTCACAGGCTCCGCCCCACCTCACGACTTCCGGTAATGCCCCTCAATTTCCGCCGGAGAGGAGGAGGCGGGGCTGTCGCTGGGCCACACCTTCATTTATGCTCTAGTTCTAGAAGCTTCAGCGAGGAAGAAGGTTCGCCTGTCAGACTTCCTTTAAGACTTGTACAGTGTTGTTTTCAGCAAAGTGCATTCCCAGACCTAGCCAGTCACCACTCCAGACCTTCCCGACACAAATCCTTCCCTCCTCTTTACCTAGATATTTCCTACCATCACCCTCCCGCGGGCGCGCATACACACACTCCCAAGAAATTCTGTTCCACAAGTATAGCTGATGTCTAATCCTAAACCAATTAAGAATACTAATCCACAGGAGGCCACATATGCAAATTGCTCGCTAATCTGGGGAGAACAGCCTGAGGGGCCTATGGGCCCAGGGGAGAAAGTAGTTTCACATATACCACATTCCAGAGATCGGTGTTCTTTTCCTGATGTTCCGCCCCATTCTGTTTTAGATTGAGTGACCAGCCCCAGCACAGCAGCAGTCCAATGGGCTGAGGACAAAAGAGAGCTGCTGTTTTCTCATCTACCTTCCATCAGGTGGACCTGGGCCTAAAACCTGGGATAAGGATGGTGAGTGCAAAGGCCATCGCAGGCCCCAGCACCTCCTTTCGCCCGGCACAGCAACGCAGTGGAGTCAGCAGTGTCACAGTGAATCCTCCCTTGTATCAGGTGAGAGGGTACTTGGGCAGAGACTTGAAAGCTCCGTAGGCAAGAGCTATCTGAAAAAAGTGGAAGGGAATGGTGGCTGAAGCTGGGGAGGAAAACCATGGGAACCTATAAAGGGGGCCTTCCTTTCCTCTCTGAAGCCCCTCAACTTCTTTGCCTAAGATTACTGGTCATTAAACCTCTCCTCCCACTTCCCAGTACCAGATGTTTAGGTCTGGGGAAAGGTTAGAGGCCAGGTGTGACTTAGGCTTTTAGGAAGTCTGCTCAAGTCTGCAGGTTAGCTTTTATGATGAAAGCTTTATTTGATGTCAGTAGAAGGCAGTCCTAGTATAGCTTGGAAGAAAAGGAAAGGAGAAATTTTCCAACGCAGCCTCATAGTTTAAACTCACACATGCATTAATGTAACACTTACCTCAGCAAATCTCTACCTTGCTGCCCTGCATCTGCTCTACCCCAAGGTGTCTTGCTGTGGGCCTGTTCCCTGTACCTGCTGCAGCCATTCCAGGTGGCCTCATCTCACAGAGTCCACTTGTAGCCGCCTACTCTACATAATCCTCCATGTAGGGGCCTCAGCACTCTGCTGCCTTCTGCTGTCAAGAACAGTAGTGGAGAGGGTCTGGGGCAAGGCGCACAGGGTAAGTGTGAGGGGATCCAGTTGCACTGACAAGATTCAGGTTGGGGGCTGGGGACAAATGAGTGGATTATACCCATGAGAGTAAGATACCTCTCTGTGCATGACGACTTGCTCTCCTTCCAGCTCCAGATGCCTTCGGGATTGTGTGGCCTTCTGTTTGGCCACTCTCACTGCCCAGTGCTCAGTGGCTCAGGAGCTGTGTATAGAATTTGTGCAGGAACTGCCACCTTCCACCTGCTGCAGGCTGTGCTGCTGGTCCACCTCCAGTCCCCTACCAGCCTTCGGGCACAGCTGCATAATAGGTTTGTGTGTCCTCTTTGGATGGGGAAAGGTAGGGGAGGGAAGTAGACATAAGCTTAAAGGAAATTCTAAGGTGAAATAATAGTACTGTAAGACAGAAAACATTCCCAGCTGGTGTGGCTCAGTGGTTGAGCATCAACCCATGCACCAAGAGAGGTCACAGGTTTGATTCCCGGTCAGGGCTCATGCCCAGATTGTGGGCCAAATCCCCAGTCAGAGGGCATGCTGGAGGCGACCAGTCTTCTTTCTCATTGATGTTTCTATCTCTCCCTCTCTCTCTAAAATCAATAAAGAAAAAAAAAATTTTTTTTTTTAATTTTAAAGACAGAGAACAGGTTTAAGTCCCAGCTTCTGATGTACTTGCTATGTGACCATGAACCACACATATCCTCTTTGAACTTCTAGTTTCTATTTTTTATTTTTTTAAGGTTTTTTAAAACTGATTTTGAAAGAGATATCAATTTGTTGTTCCATTTATTTATGCAATTCATTGGTTGATTCTTTTATGTGCCCTGACCGAATATGGAACCAGCAACCTTAACATATCCGGATGACGCTCTAACCAAATAAGCTACACAGCCAGGGCCTGAACTTCTAGTTTATAAAATGGAGGTGACAGTAGGGTTTATGTGCAAACCCTTTATCAATGGTAAAATGCTGTCCAAATGTTAGTTTTCTAAGAGAATTTTAAATAAGCTGTGATAGGCCTGTTTCTGGCCCCTCTCACATAGGATTGGTTCCTCCTTTCCTACACTTAGTTGTCTCTTCTCTCCTCTTTCCTAGTTTTGCTTTCTCCTTTGCCTTCCTCTATAGGCACTGTTCACTGTCCTTTGCCTTTTATTCTGAATCTGGCTTTCTTTCTCTGCAAACCAGCTTCTGGCTCCTCAAGCTGCTGTTCCTGCTAGGTCTCTGTGCTGTTGCCTTCTGCATCCCTGATGAGCATCTCTTCCCAGGTACCTTCCATCTCATATCCTGATCAGTAAGCTAAAAGATTTTCTAAGAAAAAGAGGGTAGGAAGAGGACCAGGAGTAATAATATGGCCAGCTACATTTTCCCACTGGTGCCCTACTTGCAGCCTGGCATTATATTGGCATCTGTGGAGGCTTCACATTCATCCTGCTGCAACTGGTACTTATTACAGCCTTTGCCCATTCCTGGAATAAGAACTGGTAAGGAGCACATAACCCTAAAGACTCTTCCTGGGAATGTTGTCTGACATTAGTAGACCCAGTGGGCTTGGGCAAAGGACTTGACAGGTCAATGAGCTGGTAACTTCCCACTGAGCAATATCAAAAAAAGCCCATGAATCTGATAACTGTGGGCCAGGTGGGATGGGTAGTCACACAGATCTTCTGGGAAAGGGAAACAGTTGGTAATGGTTCAAGAGTTGGAGCCCAAGCCATTGCCCACCTCCCTCCCTTAGGCAGACAGGTGCATCCCAAGACTGCCGCTGGTCCCTAGCCATGCTGTTGGCCACCCTAGGATTCTACAGCATGGCAGGTGTGGCAGCAGTGTTCCTGTTCCAGCACTACACACACCCAGCTGGCTGCCTGCTCAACAAGATGCTACTTAGTCTGAACCTTTGTTTCTGTGGCTTCCTCTCCTTCCTCTCCATCGCTCCTTGCATCCGCCTCAGTGGGTACATGCCTTGCAACATTCCAAATTTTGGGGATCTATAGTATAGTAAATTTCATTAATTTCCCTATTCTCAGTCAATTCTCTGCTTCCCCCAAAGGGTGGGGAGACAGAAGTGTGGTTGGGACTAACTAGGAGTGGAAGAAATTACTACCCTGTAGACTAAAGCAATGATCCCCATTCTTCCCAGAGCAACCCCAATCTGGCCTTCTACAAGCCTCTATCATCAGCTGTTATATCCTGTACCTGACCTTCTCAGCACTGTCGAGCCGACCTCCAGAGCATGGTAAGGAAAGGACCTGGACTCCCCATGCTAAAATCTTTTTTTTTGCTCCTACAAAGTATCTCACTTTGTTCTTACCACTTTTCTCTTCTCTTGCCCCTTCTCAGTTATCCTTCAAGGACAAAATCACACTCTGTGCCTGCCTGGCCTGAGTAAAATGGAACCCCAAACACCAGATACTTCTTTGGCAGTGTTCAGTGCTGGCATCATGTATGCTTGTGTGCTTTTTGCTTGGTGCGTAAAAGTGTCAGGGGGAGAAGTGTGAAAGAAAGGAGAATGCCCAAGACAGGGAGGGATGATCAGATTATCTGGGACCATGTTTATTTACACTTTTAAGCAAAAGGAAAGCTCACTATGAACAGAAACAGTTTCTAAGAATAGCCCTTGTCAGATGATCTGTATGAGAAAAAGGGGGCAGCGGGTATTGATTTGAGAATTAAAAATACATACAAAGATTTTAGAGCTCTCATATGAGTTCTAAATCTTTGGGGGAATAGGGGTTCTGGGAACACAGTACCCTCCTGAGTTACCAATATGAACTAGCTGGCAGTAAATGCCCTCAGGCAATCCCTCCTGCTATTTGACTACACCTGCTTGAGAACTGTATTCTTTCTCAGCAATGAAGCTTCCTACCTGGCTGAGGTATTTGGGCCCTTGTGGATCATCAAGGTTTACAGCTATGAGTTCCAGGTGAGAATGAAGAGCTCAGTATCCCCAATGCCCCTCCCTCCTCACATACAGATAGATACACACACACACATCCTACCAATCTCCACCCAGAAAGCTCAGATTCTAGCTGCTATTACCTTTTATTGAGTACCCACAATGTGCTAGGCACTGTGCTACTTTACATACATAATCTCATTTAATGTAATCCTCACAACAACCCTGTGAGGTAGGTGTTTGCTCCATTTTACAAATGGAGAAATTGAGGCACAGATTAACATCTTACCAAAATTCCCATAGCCAGTTATATGCTGGAGCTAGCATTTGAACCCAGGTGTGCCTCTACTTCTTACACGAGATTAATCTTTTCAAAGGGAGTTTCCTATATAAATACCTTCACATTCTTTTCAAAGTGAAAACATGCTGCCTTTTGTTTTATAGAAGCCCTCACTCTGTTTCTGTTGCCCTGAAACAGTGGAGCCAGAGGAAGGTGAGTATCAAGTGAAGATCCTTAAGAAAATATAGATTTCTGCAGTGCCGAAGAGCCCTTAAGCACCTTCACAAAAGCTAGGGGATGAAGAAATGGAAGAGGTATTTCAGCAGCACAGTGCTAGCAGCCCCTCTCTCTCTTCAGGGCAATGTGGAGGAGCAGCTAGGCCAGCTGACCAAGAGACCTCTCCAACTCCTCCAGTGCAAGCCCAGCATCTTTCCTACAGCTATTCTGCATTCCACTTCGTCTTCTTCCTTGCATCACTCTATGTCATGGTTACTCTTACCAACTGGTTCAGGTAGGATGGAGGCAGGCCTAGGATACTCTCCTGAAAACCTAGCTATTGTAGGGAAAGAGCAATTCAAGGCCAGTCCCAGTGGTTCCCAGGACACACATGGGTCTGCCATAATCTGATGGGAAGGTAGGACAGGTCTAAACGCCAAGGCTCTGTATATTCTCTAACCACAGACTTTGGTTCCACAGCTATGAGGGAGCAGAACTGGAAAAGACCTTCACCAAAGGCAGCTGGGCGACCTTCTGGGTCAAGGTTGCCTCATGCTGGGCCTGTGTACTCCTCTATCTGGGGCTGTTACTGGCACCACTCTGTTGGTCCCCTACTCAGGACCCCAAGCCTCCTCCTATCTTCAGGCGACATTGTCATCGTATCAGTATCGTCAGATAACAAATATCCAGTCTAGGTACTTTTAACACAACTGGGGTTCCCTCGAGGTTGTGCCCCTAGTCTTGGTTCATAGGAGCTATACAGCCAGCAAATACTTCAAGGACACAATGAGCAGTTACCTCATTTAGGCCGAAGTCAATACTATGTCTGAATTGGAAAAGGTGGCCATATATACCCTAATGCCCTGGGCAAGCATCTGACTCACTAGCACTACCATTACATCTTCACCTAAACTCAAGAGTCTAATTCCCAAGTCAGCAGCTCAGGAACCACTACTGATCCCAGCAGACAGTGTGACACCAGCCCTTTGCAGGCTCTCATAGTGGAGATGGGGGGCAGGGAAAGACCAACAGGGACTGAAGACTTACTTGGCTCTGCCCTTGGAGATAAAAAGAAATAAGCAGTTCGGCTCTGGGCACAGGGATATAAGAAGCCCAGAACCCCAGAACAAACCAGGACACAGGAAGAAAGGAACACAAAGACTACCCCAGGTTTTAATCCTGATTTTGAAGTCAAAGGAAGTGGGAAGACAAAAACCACCTTCATTACATGAGGAATGAATGAAGAAAATGTTAACACTTGAAAGCAGCTGACCCTGGGAATTCAGTGAGCAGCAGGATTTCGGGGCCAACTTTCAAGTAGGCAAACAAACTGAGGAAGAATAAGGAAGAGGGGCATGGCATAACTTGGGTCTTGGAGCCTTCCTCCTTTGGCCCTCAACTCCATCCTTGGGATGGTGTTAAGGTCTGGGTAGGGGACAAAAATCACAGAAAAGAAGTTCCTATGGTTATTAGAGGATTCCTCTATCACATACCCAGAGTACTTGTCTGCTTGTTGAAGTATAATAAAGGATTTTTCTGTGATGTTTCATTTGGACTACATTATCCACAACCTTTTAGGGTCTTAAGTTCTCTCCCCATTTCATGGGAAAGGGCAGCCATTCCTCCATCCCCATCCTCCCCAAATCCCCAGTCAAACCAGGCGCTCAAGGAATTACAAAGCTACTTTTAATACTTTGGGGTGACCCCACAGGAATAAAAAAAACACTGGGAAGGGGTAACCCCCTCACCCCCAGGAGTGGCCCAGGGGGAGAAAGGCTACCTGAGGGGAAGGAAGCACAAAAGGGACCCGCTGCAGACTCAGGGCAAAGGGAATGCCATCGGTGCTGGGACCTGTGAGCACTACAGGAGGAAACGCGAGCGTGGTGGGACTGGCTCCAGGCACACAGGCGAAGGGCAAGAGGGTTGGACACGAAGCCACAAAGCTACTTGGGTTCCTCCTTCTTCTCGTTTGCTTTTTTCTGCTTCTGCTGCATGATCTCCGAGTCCCTGGGGGTAGAGATGATGGGGCACTGGGAGGTACCAGAGGGCAAAAAGGACAAGATGCAGGGGGATGAAGGGCACAAAGGATAAGATGGAAGTGGATGGGACAAAATTCAGCATATGGCTGCTGTATTCCCACCCTAGGAGAATAAAAGGAAGAGAGCTGAGGCTCAAAAAAAAGGCAATCAGTCTCTATCTGGCTGTTGCCCAAGGGGTCAGAAGTCTGGCCACACAAGGCTATTCTGTGCTGAGTACCACACCCAGCAACACTAGTGAAAAGGTTGGGAGAAGGGAGTTGAAAAGAACAGCAAGGAGGGCCAAAAGTACAGTGCTGTCATAACCACTAATGCATTTGAAATGTGAAGCTCCCTGCCCTTGCCCTTAAGGTCAGACCCAGGGGCACTCAGAAATCAGACCTAGGACAGGCACCCGCCCTAGTCCCTTCCTGTAAAGCAGTGAGCTAACAATTTGGAGCGTGGGGAGGAAATAAAACCCTAGAGGAAGCAATGTACTCTGCCCCTCACAACTACTTCAGATATAAGCCCTGAGGTAGCTCTCTTTACTGGTACAGCCCTTGGTCTAACCCAAGTCTCACCCCTCCTTTTCCCTCCCCTCCCAGGGGCTACCTCTGCTTGCGGGCGGCAGCAGAAAGCCCGTCATCTCGGCGCTTCCCTTTAACCGAGTCGCTCTGCTTTTTCATATTCTTCTGGCGGGCGAGCTCGCGCTGGTTACCGCCTAAAGAAAGAAGGTAAAAGGTGAGACGCGGGGCTCTTTCTGGTCATACACCGACGCCTCTCTAACCTCACTCGACACCAGTAGGGTCCAAGACTTCACTCCCCGAGTCCTGACACCGGCCCTTTTCGGGATTTAGGCTGCTAGGGGGGCGGGGGGAGTAGAGAGGGCTGGGCTGCCTGCCACGGGGCAGGGCAAACTGAGGAGTGGAGAAAAGACGGTCCCGAGGAGCCTGCCAAAGACGTGTTTCGAGTTGCGGGGCGGCGTGGGGGCCCAGACAGGTGGTGGTGTGTGTATTAACGGTTTAGGTGTCTGTGGGGGCTGGGCTAAGATTTGGAGTCGGGGGCTCTGGGCCTTTCACCCAGACGTGGGGCTTCTCCCCACACCGTGGAAGGTCGGGGAGGCCCTTTCCCCGACCGGTGCGTTGGGGATGGGGGATGAGTTTTTCTCAAGTGGCGGTGGGCAAAGGGCCGATTTCCGGGCTTCGAGTGTGAGGGTCTCTAAAGAGCGCTCCCAGAAAAAGGCCTCGCTGGGAAAGCCAAAACGAGGTTAAAGGCGGAATTAGGCAGTCCTCTTTAGGGTGGACAGTCCTGTTGAAGGGAAAAGGGGAAGAGGAGAGGGAATCTAAGTGCTCACGGGTCATGGCGACGGCAGCGGCTCCGGCCTGCCTCCGTTGCGTCCCTTCGTTCACTCCGACGCTACAGGCCCCGCCCCTTTCTCGCAGCGTAACGAAGTCGTTCTTTCCTCCCGCCCCTTCGCGCCCGGGCGCCGGCTCCAATTGGGCAGGAAGAAACACGTGGGGCAGCGGGCCACGCTAGAACCTGAGCCGAGGAGGGGCGGAGGTTCGCCAGCCTAGGGCGCTGGGTGGGGCGGGGCTTCACGAGCAAAGGTTTGGGTCGGGCGGGGAGAAAGTAGGCCGGGTCACGTGGGCAGAGTGGGGGGTGGAGGGGCGCGGCTGGCGATGTGGCGCTTCCGCGGGCTCAAGCTTGTGATGTGGCAGAGTGACCTTATGCAGGGACGGTTTGAGACACCGACAAACTCTCCCAGAAGGAACACTAGGAGTCCGAGGGCGGGGGTTCGCAGGGGCCGAAATGGTCTAGCGGGTTCTGTGTTATCAGAACTCCGGGACTAAACTTGGCCCTGTTACTTAGAATACCCACCACCCATTTAGCCACTTGAGTTGTCCACATCTGTAAAATCATGTACAAATGCAACTTCAGAGACCCCGTCCAACCTCATTATCCACCCCACCGCAAACCCCTCCAATGTAGAAATTCGTAACCACACACGGTATGTACTAAAACTTTGGTCCTGTCTATTTCCCCACAGAAACTTTAAGTGAAGATGCGATGGCTTTACTGTATTGGAGGACCCTCCAAAATCAGACTATGGAGTTGGAGCCAGGACTGAGAGCATGGACAAATGCACATATGTGCGTTTCCCCACCACTGTACTTTCTCTAGCAGCCACAGTGGTTTTTTGTTTGTTTTTTAAATATGTTCTTATTGATTTTTTTAGAGAGAGGAAGAGAGAGAGAAACATCGATGTCAGAGAGAAGCAGCACCAATGGGCTGCCTCCTACATGCCCCACACTGGGGATGGAGCCTGCAACCTGGGCACTGCCCTGAACCAGAATCCAACCCGGACCTCTCAGTCCACAGACCGGGAGGGCCCAATCCACTGAGCCACACCGGAGGTGGCCACCTATGGTTTTTAGTAGGTAGCTGAGTAGGGCATGAAGCTTAAATTTCACACTAAATTCATTCTTATTCCTAGCACCATTAATTTATTTACAAAACTCCCCACCATCCTTAAGGAATTCACTGGAGAAAGAAGAAATGCTTAGGAAATATAACAGAAAAGAATTGGTTGTGAATTTTTTTTTTTTAATCCTCACCCTAGGGTATGTTTTTATTGACTGGAAAAAGAGACAAAGGGAGAGGGAGAGAGAGAAAAGAGAAACATGGATTGAGCATAGAACCTGAAACGTGGATATGTGCCCTTACTAGGAATGGAACTGGTGACCTTTCTGTGCAAGAGAGGATGCTCCAACTAACTGAGCCACACTGGCCAGGGCTGTTGGAATTTTAACTTGTGATTCTGTCCAACTAGTTCTCATAGCAAAACGCACTTGAGGCTAAAACTTCAAACTGGCTTCTCTCTCAACATAGAGCTGATGGGAAGGCAATAAACCTCAGTCAGTGCCATTCTCATAATTTTTGCCATACCGAAACTATCACTTGAACTACTATCTATTACTTAATTTTTTTCTATGTCTTAAATAAAGCATATAAGTCAAACCTAATATTCCTTTAGTAAATTTAAAATCAGTATCACTTGCCCACAAGCAGAAAGTGACTATAAAAATAAATATAATAAGCCGGGCTGGTATGGCTCAGTGGTTGAGCATTGACCCAAGTACCAAGAGGTTGCTGGATCAATTCCTGGTTAGGGCACATGCCTAGGTTGTAGGCCGAATCCCCAGTGAGGGGCATGCAGATGGTGGCTGGTCAGTGTTCTCTCTCATTGATGTTTCTGTCTCTCTTTCCCTCTCCCTTCCTATCTCTCTAAAATCAATTTTTTAAAAAATTTAATAAATAAATATAATAAAAATAAAATATTTTATTAAATTCTACCAAAAAAATATCATTATTAAAGATGCAGATTCCCTGGTTGTTGTGGTTTAGTTGGTCGAGCATCATCTGTGCACCTAAAGGTCATGGGTTTGATTCCCAGTTAAGGCACATGCCCAGGTTGCGGGTTCAGTCCCTAGTCGGAGTGTGTAAAGGAGGCAACTGATAGATGTTTGTTTCTCTTTTGTGTGGATGTTTCTCTGTCTCTCTCTCCCTTCCTCTCTCTCTAAAAAACATCAATAGGGTCTGCCCTTTCTTTCCTTTTTTCTTAATATCCTCACCCAAGGATGTTTTTTGTTTGTTTGTTTGTTTGTTTGTTTTTGTTAATCTTCACCTGAGGATATTTTTTCATTGATTTTTAGGTAGAATGGAAGAGAGAGAGGGAGAGAGAAAGAGAGAAGCATCAATGTGAAAGAGACACATCAACCAGCTGCCTCTCTTACAAACCCAAGCATGGTTGGAGATTGAACCTGCAACCCAGGCACTGATTGGGACTCAAACCCAAAACTCTTCCATCCAAGGGCAGACACACTAACCCTGAGCCAAACCAGCCAGGGCATCACCTGAGGATATGTTTTTACTAATTTTTTTAGAGAGCGAGGAAGAACGAGAGAGAAATCATTTGGTTGCCTCTGGTACCCACCCCGAGCAGGGATGAAACCTGCAACCCTTTTGTGTACAGGACGATGCTCCAACCAACTGAGCCACCTGGCCAGGGCCTGCCCTCTCTTTCTTAAGTGTTAGAGAAGTGATAAGGCATAAGTCTTCCAAACTGAAGCTTTCTCTTGACATAATCAGAAGATTGAGAAGCATTTAATTTTTATACTTTCGGTGTTATTCAATCCTATGTTTCTTTCTTTTTCTTTTTTAATCCTCACCCAAGGATATTTCTCTATTTATCTTCAGATAGAGTAGGAAGGAGGGAGGGGGAGAGAGAGAGCGAGAGAAACATCGATGTGAGACAGACACATCAACTGATTGCCTCCCCCACTACCAGACCACGGCCAGGGATGAATCGCCACTGAGGTACATGCCCTTGACCAGAATCAAACCCACAACTCATTGATCCACAGGCCGATGCTCTAACCGCTGAGCCAAACTGACCAGGGCTATGTCTCTTTCTATATCAGCAATTTTCAACCTTTTTCATCTCATGGCACACGTAAACTAATTACTAAAATTC